TACAACTCCTAGCAAATGCAGAGTCGTATGATCCTGCTCAAGTATTTTATTGACATCTTTCCCTTTTTTAGGCAAAGTCAAGTGGCCCCTTCTCATCATTCACTGCCTTCACCCTCCCTCTGGCAACTTTTCATGAGTTTTTCCATCAACATGCAAAGCCTGATTTATGTTTTGAGAGCCACACCCTTTTCAACAACACACACACAGATGCCATACATAAATGAAAGGTGACCTTTACCCATGAAAAGAATTTTGATGAATCGCAGGAAGTAATATACTGTGCAGGGAAAATAGTCTTCTGATCTTTTTTGTTGTTGTGGTCCAATATAAATCACTTCCCATGAAGAGCAATCTGAGTCTAATGAGGTTCGGTAACTGTAGACTACAAAGACCCCCAAGGATGAGAGAATAATTCCACTTGTGCTGGTCTGTGATTTACTCCTACTAGGGGGGCTGTGCATATTGGGCAGACAGGAGGAGCCTGAAGGTTCTTGGAAGAAATGACTAAAGGTATTTAGATTAGTCAATGAGTATTTCTCAGTTATAGAACATGAGCTTGGAGTCTCTATAGCAATTTTTTCAAACTATGTATTGGGACAACTCAGCGGACTCTGAGATTAATATTGAAAGACATAGAAAAATAAAAAGGTGAAGAAGAGAAAACATGAGGATGCATGACACAGAGTGAAGATAGTGTTTTGTGAAAATTCCCTGTTATGTATACACAGAATATGTATACTAAGTTGCAATGTAAAATGATATCTTTTACTATGTATTCCATTGAAAAAAAGTTTATAAAACACTGCTCTATAGAATAAAATCAACCACAGGCATTTTCTCTACCTTTTGAGAACTTAAACTGCAAGCCAAAAATGACAACTCTTCCGGTTGTAAAAATATTAGGGGAATTTATACCGGTGATTCTACAGGGAGTAGTAAGAAGGATCAATTGAAATAAGAGTAAGTGATCTACTCTTCTTGTTAGTGACAGTGCAGTTCTGAGGTGAGGTAAAGAATTCTGAAGAGGGGGTGCCTGGGTGACTCAGTCGTTTAGCGTCTGCCTTCGGCTCGGGTCATGGTCCCCGGGGTCCGGGATCGAACCCCGCATCAGGCTCCCTGCTCAGCAGGAAGCCTGCTTCTCCCTCTCCCACTCCCCCTGCTTGTACTCTCTCTCTTGCTGTGTCTCTCTCTGTCAAATAAATAAATAAAATCTAAAAAAAAAAAAAATGAATTCTGAAGAGAGAAGTCAGAGTCTAAGGAGATGTGAAGCCATTTGGTTGTTCCAACATCACGAGCTGGGAGAAGAAGACCCATGAAGCAATGCGTTGATGAAAGTAAATCGTGAACATGTCCTCCTGGTTGGAGTGAAGGAACAGATATACAGGAGAGAGCAGGGTGAGGAGAAGGAACTAGAGATAGCAAACTAGATACCTGTTGGTCAAAACTGAACCATGGTTGTGTTGGTTTTGACTGGTCTGGCATTTACAGAATTAAGACATTCCCATAAAACTTGGGATTTTCATTTTCTCTAGAAAAATCAGACCTGGCCCCTCTGAGTCTGAACTCACACATGACAATAATAGGCTGAAGCCAACAAGCACTGATTCCCTCCTGGGACAGCCATGAGCACATTTGGCTCTTTAAATTAAAATTAAATTAAGAGCTCAGTCCCTCAGTTACAGTAGGCGCATTCCAAACGTTCAATAGCTACATGTAGCTAGTGTCCACCATATTGGATAGTACAGGTAAAGACCATTTTCATCATAAGAAAGTTCCACTGGTTAGCATTGCTTTTAGAGCCTCTGTCTCACTAGTCACTGTTCTCTTGCCCAGGGCCAGCCCCAACCCTTTTTGTTACCTGTCTCACTCTCTAGACCTTTCTCTTTGCAACTCCCATAATACAATGCTTATGTTAGGTTAGCTGAGAAGCTCTGTGACTTAATCTTGGGAATCGAAACCTATCTCAATTGACCACAGACTCACTGAAGTATCTTGAATTGAGTGTGTGCGTGTGTGTGTGTGTGTGTGTTCTTTGCAAAGTAAGGAGTGACATGAGAATTACAGGGACTGTATATGTGTAAATGGTGTCTTACAAAGTTATCAGAATAGAAGAAAAATGGGTTTCAGTTACAGTTCTTCACTACAGGGGAAAACTAGAGAAAAATACACCTCATTTCCTGTTCTCAACAACTATGGATATCCACTGGGGTGAACAGGACAGAACCAAAGGACCAAATCTGATGAGAGAAGCTAACAGTAAACCAATGGAGTACTTTCCAGATGAAAGTTAATATCCTGTTAGCATATGTATGGTTAGGTACCTTCTGGCTTTGTTCATACATCACAGAACATACAGAAGAACTAACAGTGATTTGGTTTATTTGATCAATGTGGGAAACCATTTGAGACAAATCAGATTTGAGAAAATCATTTGGCTTGAATTGTCTGACACTTCTAAATTAATCAGATAAGCATAAATATCATCTGTGCAAGCGCAGTCATTAAATACTCATCTTTGAGCTCAGTAAAACATCCTATGTGTGCATGCGTGTGTGTGCACACACATGCACCCCTTTAATTTCCAAGAGCATAACAGGGTTCCTACGAACCTAAGATGGAAGCAGAGTGCTCTTAGAGTTCTTACAAGTTAATGAATTTGGGATCCATGTTGTATTTTAGTGAATTTTAAGTGTTGTTTCTCCTGTCTTGGTTAACTTGCCTTGCCATAAACTCTCTTGCTGTAGAAATACGTGGAAAATATAATTCTTTTGGCAGTGAGAAAATTTTGTTTTTCAACCTGCATTTGTTCACTGTCGTCACTACCTATATGTTTCCAGGTTCACATATGAAAATAATTATTCCTCACTTCAGGAAGTCTGTTTTTTAAAAGTAAGTGTGGCTTCAAAGGATCCAGCCCCCTCAGCAGGGTCAGCCCACCCCAGGAGATAGCTGGACAGGAGCCCTGACCTGGGGGCGATCTGAACTTTCCTGGGCTATTACCTCTTGGGCTGGAGTCTTGGGAGTATTACCTCTTGGGCTGGAGTCTTGGGAATAGGGGCTGGGTCCCTCCCCCCGCCGACAGGGGACCTCTACACGTCTGTACCTAAGAGTTGAGAATAGACTCTCAAACGGGGAAGCAAAGTTCCTCGAGACAGCTCTCTCCCGCTTTCCCAGGGTCAAGGCCAAATGCTCTGATCCCAGGGCTTTTCCAGGCACAGGAGAAAGGGCCCAGCCCAGGGTCAAGGCAGCTGCTCTCTTAGGCAAGTCTTTGACCATCTATGAGGGGCTGTTTGCTCAGGGGTATGAAGGATTTCAAATGGATCAGCCTCCCTTTTGGTAAGTATCAAAATCCCATGTCCTCCTTCTTGGATCTACATCAGTCACTGCAAAATCGACCTCTATCCTGAAACTTCAATGGAATTAAGATCAATGTTATGCTTGCTGAATAAAACAGAAAACATTCACATTTGTACACTTAATAGGAGCTAAGCCTCCTAAAGAGCCCCACAGCAGAGCTTCTCAAATTGTGGTGCCAATTGGCAGGTGAGGGAGGGAGAGGTACAAGCAGACTCCATGCTGAGTGCGGAGCCGGACACGGGGCTCGATCCCACGATCCTGAGATCACAACCTGAGCTGAAACCAAGAGTTGGGTGCTCAACCGACTGAGCCACGCAGGAGCCCCAAGCCATATCTGTTCTATGCTCTATCCAGAATCTTAAGAAAATTCTTGTAGGTGCTCAATACATGTTTCTTGAATGAATGAATGAATGAATGAATGAATGAAAAAGTACACCTAATAACTTCCTTTGGCTATTCTTATAGGCCCCACTCCAGACAGAAAGTGTGGCTTGCTACGGTCCCCTCACCTCCTACCCAGGTTTCACAGCCTGGAGGGGACTCCCAGACTGGATCAGAGTGACAGGTCTGAATAGTTATTTCCTGGAGACACCTGCCAGTTGACAAAATTAAAGTGATTACTGGTTAACACAGGGTCTTAAGAAATGACACCGTAGGGGCGCCTGGGTGGCTCAGTCGGTTAGGCGTCTGCCTTCAGCTCGGGTTGTGATCCTAAGGTCCTGGGATCGAGCCCCACATCGGGCTCCCTGCTCAGCGGGGAGCCTGCTTCTCCCTCTGCCTGCCACTCCCCATGCTTGTGCTCTCTCTCTCTCTGACAGATAAATAAATAAAATCTTTAAAAAAAAAGAAATGACACTATGACCCTATATAGATGGAGATGATTTTATCTCGATAATTCATTTTTTAATAAATAAATCATATTAATGGCCCTTGTTTTCTAGCATTTATTCTGTGTCAAGTACATAATGATAGCCAGTCTCTATGAACACTATGTGCCAAGCATTTTAAATGTATTACTTCGTTTAAGCCTGACCAAAACCCAAGATGGGTACTATCATTATCTTCATGTTACAGCTAAAACTGAGCATGGATAAGTTGAGTCTTTTGCCCAAGGTCGTACAAGTAGCAAGTTGTCAAGTGGGATCACCTCTTTCTGTCTGACCCTCGAACCCATGATCCATTCCCTTCTATCCACTCTTAAATCTGCTCTGAGGAGGAGGAAGGGGTATACTCAGCCCCAGGCGGAAATGATGAGCAGTGAAGGTGAGGGAGGGGCATGGTAAAGAAACAAATATAGGGGAGGTCCCACCTTGTGTCAGGCACGTGTGACCCTCATAGGCAGGAATTATAATCTCCCTTTTATAGGGGAAGGAGGAAAGCCTCGGACAGAGACTTACCCCAGTGCACCAGGGACCTAGGAGAAGTTCAGAGGAGCAGATCCAGGCCTTCCTGGGCTCTGCTTTCACATTTGGGTCTACCCAAACATGAAGCCCTCTGCCTTATTCAGGTCTCAGGCACTTAGGGACAATACCCTGCCTAAATCTTCTCATCCCTTGCATCCTTGCCTTGACAGGAGTACCCTGCAGCAGTGTCACTGGGTTATCAACTCCGCTCAGCAGAGGGACGGAAAATATTACAATTCTGAATCTGTCTTTATTCTAGAGTAAATCCTTTATTGTCTCAAGGAAAGTTGCTGTTATCCAAACATGTTCCAGAATATACAGCTTCTGTGACGCTTTCATTCATCATAAACCACAAAGGTGAGACATCTGCTGTTAGTTCCAGGGGACAAATGATATTTGATTTCCTGCTGTATTTCAAGCATTAAACTATGGACATTTTACATCGTTTCTCCCTCCCTTCTTCCTTCCCTCCCTCCTTCCTTCCCCTTCTTCACTCCCATTCTTCTTCCCTTCCTTTTTTTTTTTTTTTTTTTTTAAAGATCACATTAAAAGTTAGGTGTAATTTGCAGAATATTTTAACTTGGAGCTGTCTTGACCTATTGAGTGTAGTCATTATGAAATTATTGATTCAACTTTTGCATTGATAGAACTTTTGACAAGAGCTTCTGTTGAACATAATTCTGGATGCATTGATTTATTACTAGGTGATTTGGCCCAGTATCTTAGGTAGAGTTCTGGATGTGTCCCAGAGCTGTTCCAAAAAGTTCTGTCTCAGTCATTTGTGCAGCTCTAACAGAATACCACAGACTGAGTGGCCTATAAACAATAAACATTTATTTCTCACAGCTTTGGAGGCTGGAAATCCAAGCTCAAGGACCTGGCCAATTCAGTGTCTGGTGAGGGTTCATAGACAGCCGCCTTCTTGCTGACAGAAGGGGCCAGAGAGCTCTCTGGGGTCTCATTCATAAGGGCACTAATCCCATTCACAAGGGCCTAATCCCCTCCAAAAGGCCCCCAACTCCAAATACCATCATATGGAAGACTCGGTTTCAACATATGAATTTTGGAAGGGCACAACCTTTAGTCTATAGCAAGTTCCTTCTCAATAAGGAAACTTTTCAATGTTTCCTCAGAAAGTCCAATTTTCAGGTTGGGTATCTGATCCTCCTGCTCAAATATTTCTTTGGCTACTCAGAGTGTGCCAGAGAAATAGCAGGAGAAGCAGACCACCCAGCTGTGCTGTCCCTGCGACCTCACCCCCAGCCCCAGCAACACCTAAAGGACACAGAATCCGTTGGTGAGTTTTCTGTCTTAGAGGCTTACGCTGGGAGCAAGGGACCACCTGACTTTCATTAGCAGCTAGGAAGGGAGATCAAAAAGGGAAATAAATATTAATAATGTCTATTTTACAAAACATTCACGCCCAGTTCACAGGAATACTCATCAAAGCATGCAAAAGATCATAGCACATCATGTCTGAGGAACATATGTGTTAGAATAGACCCGATTTCCATAATTCTAACATGCTTTAGGGACAATACCCTGCCTAAATCTTCTCATCCCTGCATGAATGCAGATGAAATGCAACTATGAAATTGAAAGCGCCACTTTACATGTGAAAGTTTTAACGCCTGAAGTTTTGAAAAGAGGGAAGAAATATGGTGGAAATAGGAAAATTCTCTTGAAATTTTTTAACAAGTTGGGAGATACAGTGAGACAAGCAGTCAAAACTCTGCATGATCATCGAGAGAAAAAAGGTCTTTAAAGATGGTACCATATCCCCAGCCCCTAGAACAGTGCCTACCACATAGGAGGGCCTGAATACATGCTTGCTGGATAATTTGGGGTTTTTTTTTTTTTAGCTCAAATTGGAGGCGAAGGCAGGAGCGAAAGGGCAGAGCAGTCTGAGGACCACATTTCATGAGAACCAAGAAGGAAGGTCACTCAGATTGCTGAAGAGGCTATGACACTGGGACCTCAAAGGTAAGGTGGCTATAGCAGTCTCCTGGCGCTGTCATTACAAAGTCCCACAGAGTGGGTGACTTAAAAAACCAGAAATTTCTTACCTCATAGTTGCAGAGGTGAGAAGTCCAGAATCAAGGTGGCAGCAGGGCCTCGCTCCCTCTGAAACCTATAGTGACATGCTTCCTTGCTTCTTTAGCTTCCAGTGGATTTGCTGGCAATCCTTGGCATCCCTCGGTTTGCAGCAGGGTAACTCCAACCTCTGTTGTCACATAGGGCTCTCCCCGTGTGTCTCTGTGTCTTCACGTGGCTTTCTTATCCACAAGAGCCAAGGGGCAAAGCAACCCAAACATCCGTGTCCATCAATGGATGAACCTCAAAATAAAACGTGGTAAGTACATACAACATAATATTATCCAGGCTTAAAAGGGGAAGAACATTCTGAAACATGTTACCATACCGGTGAACCTTGAAGACATCTTGCTAAGGAAAATAAGTCATTCGCAAAAGCACAAAGGCTGCATGATGCACCTGTGTGAGGTCTCCATAGTAGTCAGACTCACAGAGACAGAAAGTAGAAGGGTGGTTGCCAGGGGTGGGGGGAGAAAGAATGGAGAGTCAGTGTTTAATGTGTGCAGAGCTTCAGTTGGGGAAGACGAGAACGTTCTCAAGATGGCTGGTGGTGATGGGGGCGCCACAGTGTGAAATGTACTTACAGCACTAGACCCTACACTTAAAAATGGTAAGCTTTACGTTACATATTTTTCAGCCCGATAAAAAAGAATCGAAATGAGGATTCAGGAAAGGGATCGCCATGGGCAACGAATCGAGGATTAGAAGAGACCCATGAAAGTGCTTTTAAGAGGTAAGGAAAAGCACAGCCAAACGGGAGGGCTACACAGAGCACGTGATCTCAGTTGGGAGATGAAGCACTCTCAGAGACCTTTCTCACATGCTGACTCTCTTGACTTGCTAAGTTGAGGTGTTTCCACAGCAGGTCATTATCGCCAGAAAAATAAAGTCTTTGGAAAGTATGCATTTCACACTACATTATGCACTTATATAGGTCCTAAACTCTCTCATTGGAAGTTGAACCACATGAATTTTAAGGTCCCTCAGATTCCGAGAGATTCTATCAGTTTAGGTAACTGGGCAAAAACTGGGTCAGTTGTGAGTGGAAAGATCCCAGGACTTACATCGAAGTTCTGGTTTGGGTCTGGACAGAGGTTTCCTCTGCCTTTAATACCCTCAAGTTTCTCTTCTGTAAAAGTGGGTTAATAATTCTCAACTTCCCGGTGATTATAGGAATGCAATGAAATATATATATAAAAGCAACATTTAACAGTTCAAGATGCAATTTATTAGACTTTATTTCAGACTATTCAAAATGCACCTTAAAGGGTCAGAATATCTAGTAATAATTAGTAAGGACACTAACTTTACAGAGTACTTGTAAGGGTAAAAAATATATATGAATATGTATATGTCTTTATACACATACATAAGGTATATGGGACTATAGGGAATGCTTAGCTCTCTACCCAGAACTCAAATCTCACATTAGGATGTTTAGATATTCTCACAGTTTTCTGGCTTTATCCTTCTTGTATGCCATAGATCTACAATAGCTTTTTACACTCTATGACCCAATAATATGTTCTTGTTTTGCAAGAATAGCACAAAGAATGTTTTTCCAGAACCATTTGAGAGTGGACTGCCAACATAATGTCCCATCACCTTTGACATTTTAATGTGATTTTTCCTCTGCAAAAGGATGTGCTCCTACATAATCACAAGACAACCATAAACATCAGAAAATTAACCTTGACATATCACTACCAGCTGATCTTCAGACCCACTCTGCTTTCACCAATTATCTCCATAACATCTTTTATAGCAGAAGGATCCAATCCGTGATCACATGGTACATTGCACTGTCATGTCTCTGTAGTCATCTTCAATTTAAAACAAGTCCTTAGTCTTTCTTTCACTTTCATGACCTTAATACTTTTAAACAATGGCTCATGTGCCAACTCCTGGCTGGTCACTCATTTTTGGAAATAAAATTTTATCAGAACATTATCACATACATTCATTGTCTATGGCTGTTTTTTGTACTATAACAGCAGAGCTGAGTAGTTGTGACAGAAACCATCTGGCCTGCAAAATCTAAAATATTTATTACCAGGCTTATTATAAAATATCTTTGTCAAACCTGTGCTAAACTAGAAGGCAAGAAAAAGAAATGAAAGGAATACATATTGAAAAAGAAGAGACTGATTTTAATGTATTTTATTGCTTATATAGAAAGTCCTAAGGAATCTATAAAGTAACTACTAGAATCAATAAGCAAATTTAACAAAGTTGTAGAATATAAGGCCAGTATAATAAAATCAGTTTTGTTTCTATATATTAGCAACAGACAATAGGAAATGATACTTTAAAAATATCATTAAAGTAGTATTAGAAAACATAAAATACTGGGGGGAGCCTGAGTGACTCAATCAGTTAGGTGTCTGACTTCAGCTCAGGTCGTGATCTCAGGGTCCTGGGATGGGGCCCCATGTTGGGCTCCACACTCAGCAGGGAGTCTGCTTCTCCCTCTCCCTTTGCCCCTCCCCCTGCTCATGCTCTCTCTCTCTTTCATATAAATAAGTAAAATCTTTAAAAAAAGAAAATATAAAACACTCAGAGGGCACCTGGGTGGTACTCAGTTGGTTAGATTTCGGCTCAGGTCATGATCTCAGGGTCATGAGATCAAGCCCTGTGTTGGGCTTCATGCTCATTGGGAGTCTGTTTGAGATTCTCTCTCTCTCCCCCTCCCTCTGCCCTTCCCTCCTCAAACAAATAAATAAATCTTTAAAAATATATTGCTGAGAGAAATTAAAGAAGATAAAATAAATAGAAATTTCATGTTGATGTTCACATACTGGAAGACTCAAAATTGATAAAATGTTAACACTCTCCAAATTGATTTTACACTTAATGTCATCCTAGTGAATATTCTAGGAAGATACTTTTTAGAAATCAACAAGCTTATTTTAAAATTCATATGAAAATGCAAAGGGTCTAGAGTAGCTAAAACTATTCTTGAAAAAGAAAGCCCAAGTGAGATGACTTACACCACATGATTTCAAGATTGTAACTACCCTACAAGATGGCCCCCAATGATCCCCACTTCCTGATATTAGTTCCCTGTGTAGTCCCTTCCCTATCAGGGTTGGTCTATGTGGCCAAAAGAATATGGGAAAAGTGATGACATTTTGCTTCCTAGATTAAGTTATAAAAAAACATTGTAAAACCCCTCTCTCTATATCTCTCTCATTCTCTCTCTTTGGTCACTTATTCTGAGGAAAATGAGTCGCTCTGTCATGAACAATCCTATGGAGAGTCCTGTATAGTGAGGAACTGAAACCCATGGCCAACAGTCAGCAAGAAACGGAGGCCTCTCCTCAACGGTCAATAGCGGAGGCAAGCCGTCCAGCCCTAATCTGGCCTTCAGTTGACTTCAAGCCTGGCCAATAGCTTGACTGCAACCTTATGACAGGCCCTGAGGCAGAACTACCAGTTTAGCTGTTCTCAGATCCCCAATTCTCAGAAACCATATGAAATAATAAGATTTGTTGTTTTATGCTGCCAAATTTGGGGATATTTTGTTATGCAGAAATAGCTAATGAATATGGGGCGCCTGGGTGACTCAGTTGGTTAAGTGTCCAACTCTTGATCTCGGCTCAGGTCATGATCTCAAGGTCGTGAGATCAAGCCCTGTGTTGGGCTCCATGCTGGGCATGGAGCCCACTTAAGATTCTCTCTCTCCTTCTTCCTCTGCCCCTCCCCCTGTCCCCCCTTAAAAAACAGAAATAGTTAATGAATATAAAAACTTATATTTAGCTTATAGTACTCAAGACAGTGTGGTATTGAGGTAAAGATTAACAAATAGATTAATGGAACACAATCGAATCCAGAAATAGATTCATGTGTGTAGTCAACTGATATTTGATAAAGGCACCAATATAATTCAAAGAAGGTAGGCTTTCCAGAAAGTGATAGAAGTCTGCTTGCCATACCAACCTCCAAAAGTAATTCAAGATAGAACAGAGATAACATCTTGGGGTAGGCAAAGATTTCTTAGGATGATGGTTGAATGGATAAAGAGTATGTGGTATATATATCACAATGGAATATTATTTGGCCATGAGAAAGATGGACATTTTGTCTTTTGAGACAATATGAATGGATCTTGAGGGCATTGGTGAAGTTACTGAAATAAGACAAAGACCGTATGATCTCATTTATATGTGGGATTTTAAAAAGTCGAATTTATAGAAACAGAGAGTAGAATGATGATTACCAGGGACTGGGGAGTGGAGGAAAATGAAGAGATGTTGGTCAAAGGATACAAACTTCCAGCTATAAGATGAACAACTTCTGGGGGTCCAATGCATAGCATGGTGATTATAGTTAACAATACTGTGTTATATACTTGAAAATTGCTAAGAGAGTAGATCTTAAATGTTCTCACCACACACACACACACACACACACACACACATACACAAAGGTAATTATGTGAGGTGAGGGAGGTGTTAATCCTGCAGTGGTAATTACTTTGAAATATATATGTTGTACACCTTAAACTTACCAATATTGTGTCGATTATGTTTCAATAAAGCTAGAAAAAACTCTACATATGTCCACAAAAAGATTTGTACAAAAATAATTATAACTTTATCATAATGACAAAAACCTGGTAACAAGCCAAAAGTCCCTGAACAATTGTGGTGGATTACAGTATATTCATACAAAGGAATACTACTCAGCAATAAAAACAAACACACCACTGATATATCCAACAAAATGCATGAATCTCAAAAACATTATGTTGCATCAAAGAAGCTAGACACAAAAGGGTACCTACAGTAGATTCCATTTATATGAAGATCAACAGGCAAAACTAAGCTATAGTGATGGAAATCAGAACAGCAATTGCCTCTAGATGAGGGGTAATTGATGGAAAGGGACTGCAGAAAAATTCCCAGGGGGGATAAAAATGTTCTATATATTCATAAGGGTGCTCACATTTGTCAAAAACTCATTTAACTGTACACTTAGAACCTGAGCATTTTATTGCATGTAAATAACCATATAAAAAATAAATGTGAAGCTTTCGACAGTGCCTGCACTTTCTAGGTCCTGGCTATTTATAGGGGAACAAATATGGTAGTTGGTTTACACAGGTCCTGAGAGAGACCTAGAAATCCAGGAGTGGGTATGGAAGAGACTCGCAGAGTTTGGAAGGAAACCGTGGCTAAGGGAGGCCCTCACATGGAAAAGAAACACAAATGAAAGAAGTTGAATATTCACTTGGCATTTGGTCTTAGGCTACCTTGGACTATTTTTCCCCTTTCCCATATGTCTTCTCATTAAGGTGAGATTTCAAACTCTTCAAAGGCATTGATGTGTTTTATAAACCTTTGCCTTTCCCAAAGCTCCTCGCATTATTTTATGCAGTTTGGTAAATATCATAGAGAAGGGGAGAGAGAGAGTCCTGTGATTTAGAATATTTTACATGACTTTCTTGGAATGGCTGCAACTGACATGAGAACCAAGACTGTTCTCTATTTCCCAGAGTCTAGCACAGTGTCTGGCACATGGCATAATATATTTTCATTGATTCACTGATGTGTACACTGGAGAGAAAAATACTCTCCTCTCAAAGCCTTATTGTCCATCCCCATCTCCCCCAGTCTCCCAGCTGTGGAAATCTTTAAATATGCTTTTTGTTGTTTTACAGCCGTTTGCATTTAAATTGGGTGTGTCACTATCACATTTTATTAGCTCTTTCTCATACCAGCCCTGTGAGGTTAGCGCTGTTATCTGTGCTTTCCAGGCGAGGGCACGGAGAGGTGAAGGAAGCAATTTGCCCGGTCGGATTGCACAGGGAGCCTGCGGAAGAAGAGGGATTTGTGCGCCCAGGCTCCACCTTCCAGCCTGCTCAGCGAGTCCGCACAGCCCTTTGGCTTTGAACCTGATAATGAAATGTGGATTTTCGGTACTGCACTTTGAAAATCATGTTAAAGGCATTAATTCCTAAAGAAAGAGTTGGGATTGTAATTCTTCGGCCTGATTATTTTTCCTGAGGAGATTTTTTTTTTTAGATACTTGACTGAGCCGCCTAGACCCAAGTTCTTAGAAATGACTCACTCTATCCAGAGATTCACACCGTTATTTCCTGCTCAAGTACCGCACAGCTCAGATGTCCCTCTCCCTCCCGTGGAGCCCACCCATAGAGTGTAACCTTTAAACAATAGTGTAATTGGAGTAAAATAATGTTATCAAGGTGGAAGGGGATTTAGGGCTTATCTCACTAAGAAAAATTTAATGTGGTCCATGAACGTCCCTAAATGTAAAATGTATGTAAAAGTTGTGCATCTGGATGGATATGGCTTTTTTCTTTTTTTTTTTCTGATAAGGTCAAGCTTTCAGATCTTTCTCCTTAAAAGCGGGTATGTCCCTAACAGACTGGGAAATGGAAGCTCAGCGCGTTTTAGGAACTTGCCTTGTGCGTCACACAGCGGGGCGGTAACAGGGCTGGATCCAGAATTTCAGTCCTCCATGAAGACAGCAGGACTGTTATCTTGGTTCCTGGAACATACGTTTAGTTTGAAGAATTACACCCACAGGCTCTTTAACACATATACTTTATTCTAAAGAATTGGTTTTCCCAAAATGGTATCCCTCATCAAGACAAAACCACTGTCTGGTTTTTCCTTCATCTGCATAGATGGACTCCCCTGGAAGACACGGGGCTGAGAGAGCTCACGCTTGCTGTGTCCTTTCCTTTAATGGCAGGAGGGGATGTCCGCATCCCCAGAATTCCCAGTTCTGATAACTCTGCCAATGTGATTAACAATATACCATTATTGCATCACCCACGAACTCCCTGCGTGATACTGGATGATTCAATTAAGACAAGTGGTTTTCAACCTTGGCTGCACTTTAGCTTCCCCCAGGGGGAGCTTTTAAAAATCCCCATGCCCATGTCCAGGCCACACCCTGGACCAATTAAATCCAAATCTCGGCAGGGGTGGGGGGGGTGGGGGGAGGGCTTAGTCAAGAATATCTTTTAAAGCTCCTCAAGTGGTTGCTATGTGCAGCTAAAGTTGAAAACCACTAATAGAAGCAAGAGGGGGAAAAAATCATATTGATTAGGCACCTATTATGTACTGGGTGTTTTATGTATGCTAGCCCATTTATTCCTCCTGGACTCTGACAGGCTGTACAACTTTCCTAAAAATCACACCACTGGAAAGTGGCAAAGTCCAGCTTCCATCCCAGGCACAGATGGTTTCCTGAAAGCTCTTTGTAAATCATAGATTTAGTGATGAATAAATGAGGGGACATCCATTCAGCACCTGGGACATAGTAGGTGGGCCTGAATAATCTCTGCCTTCATTTCTCAGCCTACTCGTTTATCTAGAACGTTCCTCCTCATCCATGCCATGACCAGACAGCAGGACTTTAGGTCTGGGAACTTGGCCTTAACCCCTGCAGCTCTGCAGTTAGATGCCTTCTTTATGCATGAACCACATTAAATTGTGATTTCATTGTGTAGGGATGTTAGGTTTTAGGGAACTGAAATGGATGGAATATATAACTGAAACTATGTCCTGCCTATTACATGGATTTTATAGATGCTCTTAGTTCTATATATGTTCATGTTCTGTAGCCATTACTTCTCTCTCTTGTCATTATGGAATGGGATGATTCCCCATTTAACTGATGCGAAATTGGTCCTGCCATGCCGTTGAAACCTGATGTAACCAGGTCATCTATCCCTCCAGCACTATTTTCATCGGACTAGAGCAGGGGCCTACGCCCTAGTCATCCTAAAGTTTTCGCCTTTCTTCTAGTCAATTTGTGAGGCTTGCAAATCATTTAAATCTTTCTGAGTTGATGACATTCAGTGAAATAGGGTAATGGGTAGGAGCAGGGGCTTCAGGACAGGATGCCTCCATAGGGGAGGGCCAGTGTTGGCATCTTCCAAGCAGGGGAGGTAATGACTATGTCCAGAACACCTCTATATGTGGACAGGTACTGAATGGCTAATGTTGATATCAACCACTTATGCCAGGCATTGTCCTAGGGGTTCTGTGGGAGTCAGACGGCCAAAGTTCAAACCCAGGCATTCTGAATCCAGAGTCTGGTTTCTAACTCCATGCTATACTCGGAGCCACCAGGGGAAAAGGGGGTGTGGGGACGCTCACTGAGGGAGTGGGTGTTGGCGTCAACCTCAGAAGAGGAGGGAAAGAGACATGTGGCTGACCATATGCGTGCCCTATTCTTCCTTTTCTCCCTATTCCTCCAAATCACCAACCACCAACGCCGTCCTGAGACAGAAGGAACCCCAGGAGTCAGAGAGATCCCTGGTTGAAGGGAAGAGAGGGGAGGGATGGAATAGCTCTCTCTTCTTCTCACTTTATTCTCTTATTCATCAAGCCAGCGTTGAGTGCTTCCTGTGTTTCTGACACGGGTTTTCAGCTCTTTGCATATATTACCCAAGGGAGAGTGAGTCCCTTGCCAAGGTCCACTGCTCTAAAGGAGTGGGGACTGGATGTGAACCCAAACCTTATACAACTGATGGCATGGAGTGCCGGACTCTCACTTTTGGTACTTTCCACCCATTTTAAGGAATTTTTGACAGAGAGCATAATAATTCAAGCAAACCCAAATTAAGTTCTCATCAGGGAAAGGAAGACTGGGGGGTCACAGAACTGGAGGGCTCCTTCCTGACAAGCCTCATTACGCATTCATTTCTTGCCACTCATGCTGGTCTGGGTCCTTGTCTGAATATTGCTCTAATAATATGTTTGGTCTCTGTCTTAATGATGGAACCACCAGACACTATTGCAAAGAAGCTCTAAGACATCAGGAGCTCAACACTATCAGCTTCTATTTTGCATTTCCATAAACAGCTAAGGTACTTCCAAGTCAGGAGCGATTGGATAGGGTGGGGACTTTGGTCAAACACAGACTGGCAGGGACTCTGTCTCTAGAAACAGGAATTCTGATGAAATCCTGTTCACTGACCCTGAGCTGGCAAAGGAAGAGACAGCATGAAGACTGAACGCATGTGAGGGGTTTTTATGGACCAGGCCTGGAAGTTGTCTCATCACCTCTACTCGTATTCCATTAGCTGGAACTCAGTCATATCCCCCTACCTTAGTGCAAGGGAGTTTGGGAAACATCCCCAGCTGTGTACCCAAGAACAAATTGGTTTTTCTCCTTTGCTTTTCTTTCTTCCACTTTGCTTTTTTGTTTTGCTTTTGTAGTTTGTCCTTGTTCTTTTATGGCCAGTGGTTGGAAGACTGAGTTGTCAATGGAAAAAAGAGTACAAAGACGAATCTTTTGGAGTGATCCATGTCCAGTGCTAATTCTAAGTGTGAAAACAATAATAATTCATTTTTATTGAGTATTTACTATGTACCAAACTGTGCTACATGGTTGACTTTAATCCCCTAGCAGCCTCTCACATGGGTTTTAAAGTGTATCAATAGCTAGTTGCAGGATGATGCAGTTCTGCTCTTTTAATGGTAATCAAGAGCAAATGTGTCGCTGTAGGGCCATTCTCCACCCTTCTTTTCCTTATTGTGTGTCCCAGAGGTTGCTCTCCATGGATGACACATCCAGGCTTTCTTGTCTTCTGGCTCCCAGTTGCATTTGGCCAATGGGAGTCACCAGTAGGGGGTGAGAGTTGGGTGTACAATTGTGTCCTATCTTCTCTTTGGCAGTGGCTATGTTCCTCTGTGGATAGCCACAGCTTCGGCCAGTCAGCCATTCTCTGGGGGCTATAGATATCACCAGGTTCCCATAAGAGGTCTCTTTCCGCACCTTCAAGCCTGGGGTGACCAGGGCTTCCTGCCATTGATAGTCCCTTGGTGCTTCATTAACCCTTCACCGGTCCCTTAAACCTCCCCACACTCCCACAGATAGTTCTTCTGTGAGCTCTCTTCAGTTCTCCCTTGGTGAGTGCCATCTCTTTCCTACTGATTCCTGGCCGATTCAACTAAGACATAAGAACTTACACAGTTCCCCACCCCACCTCCTTTCTTTAGAAAACTTTATTATAGTGACCACTTTGGAGTCTGGAAGACCTAGGTATGAAGCCCAGTTTGATCACTTACTAGTTGTATGATCTTGAGCAAGTTACTTAACCTCTCTGAGCTGTTGTTTACTCACCCATAAAACAAAAGATAATAGATTTGTGAGGATTAAAAGAAATAACATGTATAAACAACCTACCCCCATGTTTGGCACATAATAAATAATTAATAGAACTAGAAATGGCAAATGATGTCATGGGAATATGTCAAACTCAGTTATTAAATAAGTAATCTATCTATTGCCTATTAAACTGACAGACATTTTTAAAAAGATGATTACTCCCAGTGTGGACAATGATGTGGGGGGGAAGGTATACACTTCAAGTGAAAGTATAAAATTTGGTAAAACCTTTCTGAAGGGCATTTTATCTTAGGATATAAAGCCTATAAAATGTGCGTTTTCTTTGATCCAGCAACTCACAGCAATTTTAGGAATTTATCCTAAGGAAATAATCCCAAGGAATGAATCAGACAAAGATGCATCTAGAAACACGTTCATACTATCATTGTTTATAACAGTTGAAAATTGGAAGTAACAAATGTTCATCAATAAGGAATTGGTTAAATAAACTTTGGAACGTCAACACAGTGACAAGTAGATTACCATGATTAGTATAGAAAGATGGCCCTAGCATATTGATAAATAAAAGATCCCTTGACAAAAGAGTGGTTATAGGATGATTCCATATTTTTGTAAATCTATAAAAAGAGGAAAAATTGAAGAGATTTTTTGAAATAATATTTTAGTTATTTCTGGATGATAGGGTTATTGATAATCTTCCCCATTCTTTTAATTTTTTTTTCTGTGTTTTCTCACTTTTCTACTATGAACATTGCACAGAACATTGAGCAGATAGGATTGTCTTGGCTGCAAGTGACAGAAATCCGAATATAGTGGCTCAGCAGCTCAAGGAGGCCTTGTCTGAAATTGGCATGGCTTTTCCTTTGTGGCCTTTGAGTGGCCACTGTCCCTCCAGTCATGACATGTGCCTTCCGAGAAGAAAGGGGGACTGGAAACACCGGAGCTTGTCTCAGGAAAACAAGAGATTTCCCAGGAACTCCATGACAGACCTAGGGTGCAATGGCCGGATTTGCATCCTATGATCATCCCTAGCTGGGAAGTGGAAGGGAGAAGGGGCTGGGA